CACTTTGGGAGGCCGGGGTGGGTGGATCACCAGCTCAGGAGTTTGAGACCAGCCTGGCTAAGATGGTGAAACCCCATCTCTACTAAAAATACAAAAATTAGCCAGGTGAGGTGGTGGATGCCTGTAATCCCAGCTACTTGGGAGGCTGAGGAAGGAGAACTTCTTGAACTTGGGAGCTGGAGGTTGCAGTGAGCCGAGATCGCAGCACTGTACTCTAGCCTGGGTGACAGAGCAACACTCTTGTCTCAAAAACAAAAACAAAACAAAAATGGTAAAGGCCACTGTGCAAGGTAGACCTAACCAAGTTTGAGGGTCAGGGAAAGCTTTTTTGAGGAAGTGATGTTTCAACTGACCTCTGAAAAATGAACAGCCTTTTTATTTTTCTTCTTGAGACAGAGTCTCTCTCTGTCATCCAGGCTGGAGTGCAGTGGTGTGATCTCGGCTCACTGCAACCTTCATCTCTCAGGTTCAAGCAATTCTCCCACCTTAGCTTCCCAAGTATCTGGGACTACAGGCATGCACCACCAGGCCCAGCTAGTTTTTGTATTTTTAGTACAGATGGGGTTTCGCCATGTTGGCCAGGCAAGTCTTGAACTCCTGGGCTCCAGCAATCCTCCCACCTCTGCCTCCCAAAGTGCTGGGACTACAGGCATGAGCCACAGTGCCTGGCCAGGAGTAGCTTAGTTTTGAGTTTTGAAATGACCATTCTTGCCTCAGTGTGTGGAACAGAATTATAATAATAAAGCATGTGAGGATCCATGGAGATGAGTTGTCCAGGTGAGAGAGAATGGGGGCTTGGATTCCATGGTAGCAGCGGAGGTCGCATGAAATGGCTGGATTCCAGAGATTGAGGAGATAAAACTTGGCAGGAGATTTGAGATGGTGATGCCAAAGGACAGGAAAGCATCAGAGATGAATACTTGTGCACCTGGCTCAATGTCACCATTCCTTGAGACAAGGAATGCTGGGGATGAGGAGCAGTTTGGGGAAGGGGAAAATCAGTTCGCTTTGATACGTTGAGTTTGAGAGGTCTTGAGGGAGACATGTTGTAGGCATTTGTGTTTATGAGTTTGATGAAGAGAACTGGATAATTTGTGAATCATTGGCAGGTAGTTGAAGCTCTAGGCAAGGACAAAGTCATTTACAGAGTATAATGAAGACCTTTGAAAACAATACTAATGTCATTGCCTGGACCCCACTTAGACCAATTGCTGCCACCTTCACCCAACCCACTCCCCATCCCATGCCCAGATGCAGGCAAATGGGCACCACCTCATGGGCTAGCGTTTGAGAGGTCTTGGCTTACAATTTCCCCAAGTACGCACAGCTTGGCTTTCTTAACATCCTGACATCCCTACCTCACCCCACCGCCTCAGGCCTCTTCTGGGCTTTGCCCACCACCTGCTGAATGGAGTCAGCGCTCAGCCTGAAGTTCAGAGCTCTCCCCAGCTCTACCCCAGTCTACCCTTTCAATCTTACTTCGTACTGCTTCCCGGCACAGACCATCTGCTTAAGTCAGGCAGCTCGTCACTTCTTCACTCCAGCCTGCAG